GGCTTCAAAGTCAGATCCTCAGATCTCAGCCTCTTAAGTAGCTAGGATTACAGGCACGAGCCACTAGCACCCAGAAGGAAAAGTTTTTTTTTGTTGTTGGTTGTGGGCTTGAACTCTGGCCCTGGGCCCTATCCCTGAGCTCTTCAGCTCAAGGCATAAACTCTACCCCTTGAGCCACAGCACCACTTCTGGTTTTCTGGTGGTTCATTGGAGATAAGAGTCTCACAGACTTTCCTGCCCAGGCTGGCTTTGAACTATTATCCTCAGATCTCAGCATCCTGAGTAGCTAGGATGACAGGCATGAGCCACCGGTGCCCAGTGGGAAACTTTTTTTATAAAAACAAGGAACCCTTTTTATAGTCAAAAGAGAAAGCTTCTAGCCTCTTCCTCCAGCCATAATTAGTTGTGTAGTTATGCATGGATCTCAACTTACCCTGTATTTTTGGAAACAGAAATGTCTTCCTCTCATATTTTTCTGTTCCCAGTAGCCAGTTGGGAATGCAGTCACTTTAACTTAAAGCTTATCCATGGACTAAAAGGATGTATGGAATTCTCAGCAACCCAGGATCCTCTTCCAGATTCTGGATAGACCCCAGTTCATCATCATCCAGATGCGCGTTACCATTAGGCTCCAAAATTCTTCCCTGAATGAGAGGCCAAACAACTCGCCAGGAACAAGTTATTTTTTTCCTTGGCAGAGTGATATCAGTTCTTAGCACACATGAAATCTAGCCAAGAAACAGAACTAATCCAAGATAAGGAGTTTCCTTAACTAGTCTAATTTTCTAATTTTCGCTAGTATCTGTTTTCCACAAACTTGCCTGAAGTAGTTAAAGTCGGTGCAAATGATTCCTTTTTTTCTTTTCTTTCATGAAAGGTCTGTGGCTTGCCTAACATGCATGAGGTCCTGAGTGCGGTCCCCAAGATGAGACTCATAGGAATACAGCAAAACAAAACTCAGGGATGTGCGATAGCTAAGAAGCCTGCGGAGGCCTGTGCTGGCTGTGGGAGCATGCTCTCACCGGCCACTGAAGGGAGGCGGGTCTGATTGACAGTCCCCATGGTGCTCCCTGAGGTCCCGCCTTTTAGTGGCTTGTGGCGCCGTTGACCAGGGAAGAGATGTGGTTGATGCTGGCACTGGGCTCCTCTCATGGGCTGAGTGACTTTTCTATTGTGACTTAGCAAATCACTCTAAAGCCTGCCTAAACAAACAGTTTCTGAAGATCAGGAATCTAGGAGCGGCTTATCTAAAGAATTCCACCTCAAGGTCTCTCAGGAGTTTGTAGCCAAGCTGTTCCCAGGACTGGAGTTGTGAAGGCCCAACTGGATCTACTTCCAGGATGGCTCACTGACATGGCTGTTGGCAGGAGCACTAGGTCCCGCCCTGGCCGCCCTTACTAGGGGAGGCCTTGGAGCCTTGTCTCCTGGCCGAGGCCAACGCCAGCCTCTAACATACTTGGCCCGCATTTGTTGATGTTTGTTCTGCTCTCTTTTTCCCTCCTTTCTTCTCCCTCCTCCTCCTCCTCCTCCTCCTCTTCCTCCTCCTCTTTTTCCTCCTTATCCTCCTCCTCCTTTTTGTCGTGCTAGGGATCTAGGGCAGAGCCCTGTGTTTGTTAGGCAAGCCCAATGCCACTGAGCTACATCCATTTCGTAGCTAGGCCTCTAAATATCGCCACCGCATGTTGCCATGAAATCAATAGGAGGATCCCGATGGGTGGCGCACAGCAGAGAGCACGCTGTGCATGCCCTGGTTCCAACTCCAGCGTGAGATTTGGGCATAGTTTTGTTTAAAAGCAAGTTTGTTGTTTATATGAAAGACACATGCAGCCTCCTGTAATAGGTTTATTAGTATTACGTTGCGAAGGGATCTTGCTGTGTTGTCCAGGCTTTCCTATCATCACCTGGGAACAAGCGATGATCTAGCAAGTAGCTGGGACTGTAGGCATTGGCACCGTACTCAATAGGATATGACATATTTTACATATAGCTCTGCTTCTACTCTTTTTTTTTGTCAGTCATGGGGCTTGAACTCAGGGCTTGGGTGCTGTCCCTGAGTTCTTTTTGCTCAAGCTTCGTGCTCTACCACTTTGAGCCATGGTGCTACTACCAATTTTCTGGTGGCTAATTGGAGATGAGAGTCTCATGGTCTTTCTTGCCAAGGCTGGCTTTGAACTGGCATCCTCAAATCTCAGCCCCCTGAGTAGCCAGAATTATAGGCGTGGGCCACCAGCGCCTGGCCCTACCTCGAGTCTCACATTTGTCTTCTGTGCGCCTTTGGTTCCTTGTGTGGTCCATTTCTGCGTTTACTGCGCTCTGTGCGTAGATGTCAGTGTCTTATTGGTTTATCCGCTGTGACAGCCTGTGTGCCAGGTCCCTGGTGACCGTCAGCCGATGCTCAGTAGTCCAGGGACTGTTGAAAGCATGGAAACAGTGTGTTATGCGATACCACACATTTACCCATGCGGTTGGTAGCAGGGCCCCCAGGTCTGACCCACGTCAGGGTTGGGTGTTCGTACTTGAACAGGTAATGGGCACACGGCCGCTGGCCTCTCCCCCATTGCGTGGGCTTGGTAGATCGTGGCATCAGCAGAGAGTGGTCGTTGTCCTGTCACAGTGCCATTCTCCCTGAAGAATCACACATGAGTTGTTAAATGTGTGACTGTGTGTTCAGGTTGCCAGCAATAACAGAAACTGAAGTTCAGAGAAAGGAGCTTATTATCCTAGGAGGGGGAATGCTCAGCCCCCTTTGGTGTTTTCAAATTGGTCAGTAGTTACAATGAATTAGATGCATCAAGTGAGTTTTCTGTGTAGGATTAGGGGAGTACCTTTCCCTTGAAGGGAAGAAGGGAAGAATGGATGACCGTGAGCAGGGGCCGTGGAAGCCCACAGGTTCATGGCTGAACGTTAGTCCTCACATGTCTTCCTGACCATGGGTGGCTGTTAGGTTGATTATAAAAATACACAGGACGGGCTGGGAAGGTGGCTCCGTGGCAGAGCGCTTGCATGTATGAGGCTCTGGGTTTGATTCCTCAGCACCACATAAGCAGAAAAAAACAAAAAAGCCGGAAGTGGCACTGTGGCTCAAGTGGTAAAACGCTAGCCTTGAGCTGAAGAGCTCAGGGACAGCGCCCAGGCCCAGAGTTCAGGCCCTACGATCGGACCCAAAATATTATATATATATATACACACACACACACACACACACACAGGTACATTATATGTTCTGAAATTCTTTTTTTTTTTTCCGTGGGAGCTTGAACCTAGGCCTGGGCTCTGTCCCTGAGCTTCTTTTGCCCAAGGTTAGCACTCTATCGCTTGAGCCACAGTGCCACTTCCGGCTTTTTCTGTGTATGGGGTGCTGAGGAATTGAACCCAGGGCCTCATGCTTACGAGGCAAGCGCTCTACCACTGAGCCACCTTCCCAGCCCACAGATAGATTATATGTGAACTTGGAATCCTTCCCTGTCCAGCTCTGGGAGGGGGCAGGGTGCTCTCTAATGTAGGGTTATGGTGGATAAATGTCTAGGTCTTGGAACTTGGATTTGTGTGTGCGCCTGAGCTGGTACTAGGGCTTGGACTCAGAGCTTTGCATTCTGTCTTAGTTTTTTTCCACTCAGGGCTGGCTCTCTACCACTTGAGCCACATCTCCACTTTTAGCTTTTTGCTGGGTAGAGAAAGTCTCACAAGTTTGACTCTGTGGGCTGGCTTTGAACCAGGATCCTCGAATCTTAGCCTCCTGAGTATCTAGGATTGTGGGCATGAGTCAACAGCATGGGGCTTCCTTTTGTTTTAAAATAGTAACCACTGTGACCATATCTAGTCCCAGATAGCGTAGCCTCACATGATAGAGCAAGCACCTCTGACTGACCTGACAGGTTAGAGATACGCATCTATTTTCTCTGTACAAAGGGCAGGGATAGAAAGTTTACTATTGTTTCCAAATGTAAGAATGCAACTTGGTATATACATGAAAGATTTTAATTTATAAGGCTGATCAGATTCTCTATAGTCTCACTTTTCCTCTCTTACTCCCAAGGTCTTCTGAAATCTATATAGAATTTCAGTTCTTTGTCCCAAATATTGTAGTGGACTCACTAAAAACAGAATAGAATACGAAAAACAGAATAAAATACAAAAGGACCCTCTAAGGTTGTATTTTGTTTGGACTGATATGTTTACAAACCAATTTAATTGTCACTCTGTACTGTTCTCTAGTCACATCTCTATGCACATAGTGTAATATAGGTATGAATAAAGGAGGTTTTGTTTGGCCTTTGTGTATACACACAATCTATACTCAAGCCTCAAAATAGTGCTTGGCTTCTGGTAAAATGTTCAGTAAATGTTGACTCAAGCATGTGTTTTAAGCTAAATTATTTTTATATCTCTCCAGTTCAGAATGCTATGATTTCATTGCCTTAAAAAAAAGTTACCTACTTTTATTTCTATGTGTGCCAAATACCAGGATGCAGGAAAGACATTATTAGTATTGATAATTAGAGGGTTATCCAGTATTGCAAAGAGTAGATTTGGAAGAGAATTTGTGAGGTCCTATTTTGTTCAGCTTTCCTGCCTAGGAAAGCTGAGTGCAATGATGAGGTATGTAATTTTAATTAATCATGTAAAAAAAAAAACTAGGACAACATAATTGGGTTACCTCTTGAGAAAATGGAGAAAGGTACTTAACCCCAGATATAAAAGGACTAACCTGAAAAAGTGTAAGGCTTCTAACTGTGTGGGAAAGTGGGGGGGAAAAATGGAGCGCAGCTAAGCTGGTCTTTGTTGATATCAGAAATGGACCTGTCATTCACTTTGGCGTTGAAGCATGGCCTCCTATCTCGGGGGGCAGGACCAGGACTTCTTTCCCCTCCCACAAGAGCCGGCTCAGTTTTTACAGGTTCCGAGAGCCCCCGGCAGTTTTTCAAGAGTTTCTCCTCCTCTTCCTCTCTGAGAAGCCAGGTGCTCGGGCTCTGCTCTCGGGATGCAATAAAGTCTTCGCTTTGGGACCCGGGCCAGCCGATCCTCTGCCTGACATGCTCAGCTCCAGCCATGCAGAGCTCTTGAGTAAGTTCATCTCCGTTTTACATTTTTATCATTTTTCAAAGTGACAGCGATAAAACACCAAACTCCAGGCTCACATTTTTTATAAATCTCATTTGAATTTTAACTGGTTCCTCGTAAAATTCAAATGAGATTTACCCAAAAAGTGTGAGCTTGGAGTTGATGTTCTTATCACGGTCACTTTGAAGCATTTTTTTCCCCCTTTAGAATAAAAAGCCTTCCTTTTAATTGAATTAGAAAGCAGGGTTGACATAGGGAAGCCGGGGTCTCTTAACTCCCCAGACTTTGCTTCTAACATTAGCAAAGTGTGCACTGGTCCGGCCAAATCCCGCTCACAAGTTTTCTTGAGCATCTTTTTAGTTCACGGAGAAGTAGTTTACATTGAGCTTTTCTGAACTCGATTGCTTCTGTCTGACACAGTCTCAAGTTTCCAGTGAATGGTAACAAAGACTGTGGAGTGCGCTGCAGAGAGAGGCTCCCCGGGCTCCAGGTAAGAGAGCGCCTGCTCTGTACTAGCGGCTCAGTTCTTACACGGGTGCTTTAGGTTTGTTTCAGTGCAGCAATGGGAAATTGAAAAACAGTCAGAAGCATGCACATTTCCAGATGTCCTTGCTGGGTGCAGACAGAAAATCCACGGGGCACCATGGGGAGGAGCAACTTAGGGGGAGGGGTAGAGTTAGCCTATTTTATCCCTGCTCTTGGACATCAAATAAAATGCTTAAGATATCGATGGAATTGGGGAGCATCGTGTTCAGTCAGGTGCTGGGGAAGCGTTTAGGAACATGAGTGGTTGGCTGGGATGTTTCCTGGTAACTGCTTGCAAAAACACTCCAGGGTACTTTCATTATTTTCCTCCCTTAGTAGTCAATAAAATAAGCTTTGCCCATAATTCAACCTCACTTTCCATTTATGAAAACTTTGAAATTGTCAACCACAAAACACACTTGCTCGGGATCTTAGGAAATCAGCCTGACACTTGAAAAGTAATTCAGCTTCCATCCCTCGCCTTCTCTTTTCTTCTCTTTTCTTTTCTTTCTTTTCCATGTACATTTTTCTTAAAAGTGTTTGTGCTTTGAACATGTCAGCTGTATTCTAATGAAGCGCAGGCATTGTTTGCTCATAAAGGGGCCGGCGCATTCCACTGCTTTATGGTTTATTAGGAGCCGCCGCCTGAGAGTGGGTGGCACTGTTTGGTGTCTGCCTCTTGGGGTGGTGACTGCCATTCTGTTGGCCTTGGATTTGCAAAAGAAAATAGAGCGTGCAAGATGCTCTGTGCATCTGGAGATGGGAGGAAACCTCAGCCCTGGAACGCTTCTTAGGGAAGAAGCTGGGAATTATGTGCTGACTTGTTTGAGTTGATCATTTCAAGAGCACCTTAAAATCTGCCTTGTAGTTACAGTCTGTTTTCTATTGGCAAGTGCGTTTTGATGTATATAGCATTTAGTGGTTCTTTGAACTCTTACAAGGAATTGAATGTCTCTGGATAAGCTATAACATTTTACTGGATACAGTAATATTTGAAACAATACATTCACTTGGAGGGTTAAAGAACTGGGTTGGGGGGAGGGGGAGAGGGAGGGAGAGGGAGGTCAGGCGGAGAGCTTTTTCTTTCAGTTAGGAAGCCCCAAGAAGAAAAAAGCAACAGATGTTTCTTCTGTGACAATTAAGCTTGCTCTATTCAAAACTCACAGTAGTTAGAGAGAGAGAGAGAGAGGTGGTCATAAATCAGCAAATAAATAAAACAGCCACATAATTGAGTTAAAATTTATCCTTTTATAGTCAGGATTTGAGACTCAGTAGAGACACAATGAGTAACATTTTCTAGTTTTTTAATATTCAAAAAGCATGTGCAATTAATGTGGGAGTGAATTTTTTAATATTGCAACTGAAGTTGTGGAAAAATGGATCATTAAATTGTATGAATTGAAAAATACCCTACACCATATAAATTATATAGGAAATATACAGGTTGCAAAAGCTTCCAAATGGCACAATAGGTTCAAAGGCTTAAAATGAAATTGAAATATGGAAGATTAGTGATCTCTATTGAAAGATGATTCCATTTTCTGAGAAACTTGAGTCCTGTTCCAGAGACCTTCAAATAAGAAGTGTGGAAGGGACATTTGCGGTGTAGCTTGGATTGGGGCTCAGTGGCGGTGGCGAGGGGAATGTTTGCTTGCTGCAAAGAGCAGGAAAGCAGAGCTGGAAGCAGTATGCATGGAATGAAAGCAGTCAGAAAATGTTCAAAGTGAATTTGTGGAATTCATAATGAGTCAAGTAAAAAACTTCCCTTTTACCAATAACACAGAACAACTGCTCTTGTGCACATCAAAACTTCATGCGTTTGCCTTTTCTCCTGGTTTCGTTTTGAGATAGGGTCCCTGTGCTCTGCCCACGCTGACCTGGAACTCTCACTCCCCTGCCTTAGCCTCCGGGAGTACTCGCTGCTCTTACAGCTGCGCACCACCACACTGGGCTTCAGGGGAGCCCTTGTGGAACTGGTGCCACGCCCCACTCCAGATCTCTCAGAGTACTTGAAGTGTATTGATCAATATTGTTTGTTTGTTTGTTGGTTGTCTGACGCTTGTTTTCACTCTTTGGATGGTGCCTAATACCTGAGCCACTCCTCCAAGTCTATACTTTTTGTTGTTGTCAGTCGTGAGGCCTGAACTCTGGGCCTGGGCGCTGTCCCTCAGCTATTCAGCCCAAGGCGAGTGCTCCACCACTTGAGCCACAGCGCCACTTCCAGTTTTTCTGGTGGTTATTTGGAGATGAGTCTCAAGGAGTTCCCTGCCCAAGCTGGCTTTGAACCACCATCCTCAGATCTCAGCCTTCTGAGATCTAGGATTACTGGCGTGAGCCACCAGCACCAGGCTCCAACTGGATTTTCTTGAAAGCTTTCTTCAAATGATGATGACAGATTTTAGAGAGTTTGAAATTTATATCATTGCTTTAAGATGAAGATACAGCTCTAAAATTATATACGTTTTACTTTTTTAAGGAATAATGAATATAACTAGGGTTTTTTTTTTCTTCGTTACAGTAAGTAAAATAAGTGGATTTAGATATTCTAGGCTTGTCTGTAGGATGTTTATTCTTTTTTATTTTTTCCCAGTCCTGGGCCTGGACACTCTCTGAGCTTCTTTTGCTCAAGGCTATCACTTCACTACTTAAGCCATAGCACCATTTCCTGCTTTTTCTGTATGTGGTACTGAAAAATTGAACCCAGGGCTTCGTGCATGCTAGGCAAGCACTCTACCACTGAGCCACATTTCCAGCCCCATGATGTTTACTACTTTGACAAAAGAATATAAATGTTGATGGAATAAACACATTTTAACACTATCAATGTGTGGGACATTGAACTGTCACAGCATCATAGATTGTAGATATTAAAAGTACATGTCACTATTTTAAATAAGCAATGGGTTGAATTATTTTAGATGACTTCCCACTGTCTCCTTAGATGTAAGTTATGGGATATTGACTGTGTGTTCATGTGTGCTAGACTCATTTCTCTTGCTCTATATGTTGTCTGTATGAGAAGCCAAACCAATCTGAGTTTGCTATCTAGAAGCTGATGCTCAGCACCACTCTACTACTGAGAGATCTGTCCCAGACAATCCTTAATGTCTAGAGGGCCCCTCCTACCATGATTGCTGTCATAGTCTAGGTGTAGCATGAGTAAAGCACCTGTGGTTCTTGGTGTGTACATAGACTTAGCACAGGACTGAGAGCTTATACTCAGGAGCAGCTTGTGTGGACTTCCCCCGGCCTTACATATGTACATAAAACGAAATACAATCTGGGGAGGAAGGAAGATTTGCTTCACGTCTGCGTTCTGGAAGGAAGTCTTTACATTTCTCAGGAGCACCGTGAAGGAGTATGAGCACTGTGTCTTTTTTTTTTTTTTTGCCAGTCCTGGGGCTTGAACCTCAGGGCTTGGGCATTGTCGGTCGTGGGGGCTGAACTCTGGGCCTGGTCTCTGTCCCTCGGCTCTGCAGCCCAAGGCTAGTGCTCTATTATTTGAGTCACAGCACCGCTTCTGGCTTTTTCTGTTTCTGTGGTGCTAAGGAATTGAACCCAGGGCCTCATGCATTCAAGGCCAACACTCTACCACTGAGCCACCTTCCCAGCCCCATTGAGCTTTTTGTTCAAGGCTAGCACTCTACCACTTGAGCCACAGTGTCACTTTCAGCTTTTTCTATGTGGGACTGAGGAACTGAACCCAGAGCTTCATGCATGCTAGGCAAGCACTCTACCACTAACCACATTCCCAGCCCCAGCACTGTGTCTTTGAGTACTGTTAGGAGTCAACTCCTTTTGTTACGGTCCTGTGTAATGAATGACATGGTTTCTTACAAGTGAACTTTTAGGTGGTAACTAAGGGTGAAAACCCTCTCTGGTCTACTTCACTTCTGTTACCTTGCTTACTTGGGATGAAAATTTGGCAATTTGTATAATGTTTTAATTTTTTAATGTTTTTATATTTTTGTTTTTTTGGGTTTTTATGTTTTCTTGATGCTTTTATATGTTTTTATGTATAATCTTCTAGTACAAAAGGGTGGGTTTTTTTATAAGGTCTGATGTTAAGCTTTCTTGCTTTTCAGAATCTTTAAAAAAATGCAGATAGCTTCACAGAGCCCAGAGTGGCCGGCCTTGCTCCTGCACTTTGAATAAGTGCTCCCCACAGCCCGTGGAACTGTGATCGTTTATTTTCTAAGCTGAAGTGCTTTGCTCTAATTCATGTATCTTAAAAGTCGTATATGTGTTTTACGGACTCGACCTTTTAACTCAAGATCTATCTGCAGTCATTGTCATCTTTTCTAAGTATTAGAAAACCAATTGATTTATTGGTTCACACGGTCTGGTGGCCATCTGAGAGGCATGCTGGGCTTGGTGACATTGGTTTCCCAGGTTCCCTCCCATGTTTCATGCTTGTTAATGGTGCACAGGCTGCCCTGATCTCCTCTGGACACTTGGTAGCTGGCAGGGGAGATAAC